ACACTTTAATTAGTTAACTACACCTCAATTATATTCTAGATTAATTGCGATTTAATATATTAATATCTAAAAAGAATATATTAAATCCACCGGATGAAGCCTACGTTCAATTGCGTTCAACCCATCATTGACTTTTGACACGTAGCATAACCATAAATGTTAAAAAAATCACTAAAATTTTCGACGAATATTAGATTTTTAACTCATAATTTTAAAATATAAAATAAGTTTAGTATTTAAAAAAGAACTTAAATCCAAGATCCGTCTATCTGAATACGAGAGAAAACCGAGCATGTCATGCACTTAAATTACCTGAGCTTGTAGGTTGAACTTGAAAGCAAGGAGACCTGCAATTGGCATGCCTATGACATAGAATGTTGCTAAGTTGATGCACATAGCCAAATGTTGCCACCCACATCCCCTAGCCACTCCTGATCAATTCAATTACACTTTTAGTAAGGTTATTTTGAAGAAGAATTAACGCAAATAGCCGTCCACCCAACTATTTAAATTAAAAATAGCCAGTAGAGGTATAATATATGCATAAGTTATGTATTATATGTGTATAATTATGTATAAACTATACATATGGCTAGAAAAAATAAATAATGAATATAGACGATTATTTTTGTAAAGATCGAATATAGACGACTACTTTTGTAAAGATCCCTATTTTGAATGCAAAACTAATTTATATGATATATCTCGCGGAATATATGTCATGAATATTATGTAAACAAAAATCTGACCTGATAAAACTCCTTGAAAGAAATCGAATACGAAGGATATTAACAGGAGAGGCGTCATGAAGGCGAATTTATTAATTATCTCCGGGCTATCGCTAAAGAGGCCGGCCCATACATTATGACCAAAAAATAGAGCCAAATCAACTATAAGAGCAAGAATAATAGATAGCTTGAGTGTAACAGCCATAGCATGTTTAGCTTTGTCAGGATTTCCAGCTCCTAATTCATTTGCCACCCTAGTGCTGCATATATATAATACAATACACATTAATTTGGTATCAGCTACAAATTGTGGATAATTAAAGAAAAAAGGTGGATTAGAACGAGGAGCGGAGCTAGAATTTTGAGTTTATGAATTTTGGATTCTAGAAAAGATAGCTTACTGGATTATGATAAATTATTTATGCATATTAAGTAAAAAAAATTAACACAAATAAAGACTTTGCGCCAAATGCTATTAGGTTCTGCCGAACCCGTAAACAGAACCGTAGCTCCTCTCCTAATCAGAAATATGTCAAAATTATATTTTCGTGGTGGTAATTGAAAAATAGCCACAGTTTCAAAGTAATCGAAATTTAGTCAATTTTCATGTAAAGATAAATCTGAACGAAAATACTATTCAAAATCCGAAAAATATTTCAGCATAATATACTGGTCCAGCATAATAAGTTGAAAGTTCACACACAGGTGCTCTACTCTCAAGTATATTATGCTGGAACTTTCTGGAGTTGGAGTTCGTGCATAATATCCTGTAAGTTTATACACAGGTGCACCGATCTCTAGTATATTATACTGAAACTTTCCGTCTTGCAGCAAAATAGTAGTTATTTTTTAATAACTTTGTAAACGCTGGCTATTTTTCAATTACCGGTCTAAAAACTAGCTATCCCGTGCTATTTTCACCCTTACCTTGCAGCTGCGCTCAGACCATAAGACATCATGTAGGCAATAGCTTCGGTATTTACACTGCAAATTCACAACTCAAAAGAATTGGTGTCAGCTAGACTAAGATTTACCCTTCAAAAATGTGAAAATGCGATGATTTAAAGCATAGAGGCTTACCTCATTGCAATTACCGAAGTAGACGTTGCCGAGTCTCGCATCAAACCAGCCAATAACACAAGAAGCTCAAAAGCCCAGTACTCCAAACTGTGTACAGATTAAATTAGGAAAAGATTTACTCTTTATTTACGCAACAGTGACAAAGAATTTCACCCTATCATTATAGTTTTACCATCCGTGGGAGAAATTAAAAAATAGTCAGATTTACAACTAGTCGTTCAAAAATAGTCCAGTTTCAAAAGTAATCGAAATTTAGCCATTTTTCATGTAAAGATAAATCTGAGTGAAAACACTGTTCAAAACCCGGAAAATACGCTAGTATATTATGCTGGAGTTCCAGCATAAGTATACTTGAACTCCAGCATATTATACTGGAGTTCCAGGATAAGTATGTTGGAACTCCATCATATTTACACTAGAACTCCAACATAATATACTGGAGTTCCAGCAAGTATATCGGTCCAACATAATATACTGGAATTCATACACAGGTGCACCGAACTCCAGTATATTATGCTGGATCAGTCCCTGTTGCAGCAAAATAGTGGCTATTTTTTATTGACTTGGTAAACGCTGGCTATTTTTGAATGACTAGTCCGAAAACTGGCTATACCGTGCTATTTTTACGTAAAAAAGGTAGACATGACACCAGGTAGCCACGCTAAAGGGCTTCTATTTAAGAACTAGTCAATGCATTCTGAATTTCATTTTTTCCAGACAAAAATATCCTGAATTGTCCTTTAAGTTAAGATCAAAATAGCTATCCTGAGAATGACTATCTGTGCACTTGGCCCCTCATTGAGAATTATGTTACAACTTAAATGACAATGTTTTTTTTTTGTTTTTTACAAGAATAACCAAATTAACAAATATGATACTCACCAGACCATAGCAGCAGAGGGCAAAGCCAACTTCAAGTTTGTAAGGATATGATGAAATGGCTCAAATGAGAAACCGTCCTGCCAGATATGGCTGAATTTTTCGGAGAAAAGTACGTATAGACCCAACGAAAGAACTGAAATCCAGATCGAAATGGAAGCTGCTAACGATGCTCCCTTGAAACCAAGACCCGTCCAATGAACCAAAGTGTAGGCAATGCCGATATGGATAAGTAAAGATCCAACTGAGCACGCGACAAGAGGTATGATAATCGACTGAGCCTGAAGAAATCTCATAATGTTTTGCAAGAAACCATATGCAAACAATCCAGGTATGAGAAATTTCAAGAACACCCCTGCTTGTTTTGCTATGTCAGGATCTTGATGAAGTAAAATCAGTATCATATCAGAATACCACCAGATAACGGCAATCACTATTGAAAATATGAATGATATGATACATGATGTTTGCAGATGTATCCCTAGCATCCTGTACATTTTTGCGCCATATCCTTGGCCGCATAGTGTCTCAAGAGCACCGCTTAGGCCAACCTAGATTATTGTACATTAATAAGATTAAAACTTGTTTCATTCAAATTGGAAGAAAAGTGCAAAATGAAAAAGTTGAATATCAAACTTGGACTTTCTTTGATCATCTCTTTTAAAATCAAATGCCAAAGAAAATACCATAGAATTACAGGCGAATTCATCATTTGGACTATCAAACTCATAGCAGCTACAACGTAACCACATACAGTGAAGCTAAGAGTGGTCAGTTGAAAATATAACAAATATTCCTAAGTTCTTTACGGGTAACTTTGGAAAAAAAAAATTAATTCGTTATTGGTATATGAAAAAGTCAAATATTATGGACCACAAAAAAAACCAAAAAATCAATTACAGTGAACCGGAGGGAGTATTTAATATTTTGTCACGTTCATTGAAAAATTATTTAAAACATTAACCAAATATAATTAAATTATCATCATCATCATCATTAAATATATTATTATTATTATTATTATTATTTTTTTTTTATAATTCTAAAGTGCTAAATATTTTGGACTTTTTTTTTTTTTTTTTGCTAATATAACATGTTCGTCACTAAGGTAGATTTTTGATGTTGTTGTTGTTGCTGCTGATGCTTTTGAGATATTGCGTATTAAGAGAAAAAAATTTGGTCCTCTTAGGCAGCTGAGAGTTCTAAATTGTAGGAAAACTTTAGCGAAATTCATGACTTCGTTACTATTGGTCACCAGGATCAATAACAATATATAGGTATGAACGTATTATTTAGGAAGAATATTAGATGCATACCATGAAAGCTAGACCAGAGACGACAGCCCAAGAATTACCAAGATTTGAGGCAGCAAGTTCAAGTTTACCAAGATGTCCAGCAAACATGACAGATACAAGGTTAATGAAGTAGAAACTACTCGTCACGACGATCATCGGCAACGAAAACAATATCTGATTCTTTGCTTCTTCCATATCCATTACCTTATTCCACCACCTGTTTGTTGCCGCTGCCGCCGCCGCCCGTCCTTCGCCGGATAATGCTGGCGGCAACAGGAGACTTTTAAGATTACTTGGTGAACTATCCATAGCCATATCTTTGCTACCTGTGCTTTCACTCTACTATGATTTCTTGTTACTTCCCTCTTGGGCACGAAATATAAGGAAAAACTTATTATCTACCAACCGCTAACTTATTATCCCTTCTGTCCCAAATAATATAGTTCATTACTTAAATGATTACTCAACTATTTGAAATTATCTAGTAAAATTATTATTCTTTCTTGGTAATAGAAAAATTATTTAAAAAAGGTCATTCAACTAGATTTCTCAAACTTTTGATTGTCAAATACTTATTTTATCCTATAAATTATCAACTTTTATTTACTTTTTTTTTTATCTTTTTTATATTATTATTTTTTCTCTTTTTAATCTACATTATGGACTTATCTATAAAAAAAATAAATTTTATTTATAAAATAAAAAATAAAAAATTAATTTTCTAGCATATGTAATGTCAGAATAATAATAATAATATAATTAAGCATAATATTCAAGAATATAAAATATATATTAAAAAATCTTTATTTGAAATAATTATTTTTTATATTAAGTGCATGAAATATATATTATAAAAAATTTATTTTCTTTCATTATCAATTATGTAAATAAATTTTGAGTTTTTGTTGTTAATATCAAAATTATTATTACAAATAAATTATTTCTTTTACTATGCTCAAATTATTTCTAGTTGAGTGACCTTCTATGTGCTATAGATATAATTAAGTGACTTTGCTGTTACAAACGAAAGAAATATGACTTTAGTAGATAATTTTGGATACTTTAGTGATCATTTGAATAATGGACTCCAATTAATATGTCAATGTTTGGATTTCAAGCGTCAAATTTGTTAGAGTTTGATATAATATTTTTAAATCTATTTAGAATATAATTTACAAATTTGGAAATTATGTAAAAAAAATACTATATGTCTCAATAATTAATACTTCAAAAAACTTAAAAGACATATGAAAACAATCCAGTCACAAAAAGTTTAGATTTGACTCTCGAACCCCGAACAATTCCGACGGAGGGATTAATACTTAGTAATTTGTGTGATAGTAAAACTTTTAAAATTTGTAGTGTTAAACATATCATAATACTTGTATAACTATGTGTGTTAAAAATGAGATGAGAACTTTAAATTAAGTAGTTGGCTAATTTAGAACGATATCATTTTCTTTTAAATGAACTAATAAGAATATAATGTTATTGGTTCTTAATCAAGAGGAAACAATTATTTTTGGTAAAACTACACTATATAACCGTCCCCAAAATTACTAGCCGGCAAAATGTATATTTATGTATAATATACATATTTTATACATAATGAATGTATATTTTTTATATATATATTTAACTAGCCGATATAATTATTATCGACTGACAGGCTAAATGTATAACTTGCCCAATATTTTTCTTGTTTGCTTCTAAGTTTACCAATATTAATAAAATTCTCTATGGGGCATGTTGTTGAGTCGTTAAAGACGTGCATTTAAAATGTCAGACTTCTGTTACGTGAAAAAGAGAGTTAGGTGTACGAGAAGGCCAATTCATTGAATAATTGATGAAATGACAGAAAGGGAATTCTGCTAAAGCCATGTGAAGAAATATACACTTTTATCATTAGAAAAAAGTTATCAAGGCAAAAGTTAATTTCTAAAAAGCTTTTAAAGATTTTTCCCAAAAAAATATTTCTAGAAAGCTATTCAAACACTTTTCGAGTTCGCTGCCTATTATACACTCAATTACACTTGGTCGATTGCCAATTGAATATCTTTGGGGATCTTTACGTAAATAGCCAATTAAATATATTGTTTATCATTTCTAGTTGATATGCATAGATTTTACACAGATATACACATATTGAGTCAAGGGTCTATATGAAATAACTTCTCTATATCACACAAGGTAGGATAAAACTACACGCAGAGCAAGGGTATATGAAACTACACGGATATACACATATTGAGTCAAGGGTAGAATTTCCCTACTTGTGGAATCACGCCGAGTTTGTTGTTGTTGTTATTGTTGTTGTTGTATTACACATATGTCATATATGAACTATGCATATATTATACATTCACTTTTTTTAAATTTAAGCGATTAAACAAACAGCTATTAGATTAATTTATTGGCCGGGGCTGGGGGCCGGCTTACATCTTACTACATAGACTTGATTAAAATCCAATAAATGTTAGGTTGATTCATCTAATTTGGCTTTGCAAATTAAATAAATGTACCTCGTTTATTTCAAGCCTAAGTAACAAAAGGTGACTTGAAGTATTTCTTGCACGTTTTTCCTTTTCAAAAAGTATAGTTTTAATATTACATCTACCAACCGCAAACACAAAGACAAAGAGGTAGTTGTGTAATAATAGTAATTCATGGGATCCTCATATTTTTTTTTTCATATTCGTTAATTATAGCGTGCCAATGGATTTGTTACTCTTTACATAATAAAAATTAGCAAAAGCATGTCCCCACATAAAAATTTGTTGATAAATAAAATCTAATTTGTTGACTATTACTTAAAAATTAAATCTTGCTATGTGGTCTAGTTTGATTTGGTAGTTCAAATAATCTTATACCATGATGAATCTAGAACAGTAATAATTAGTAAAATAATTGAAAACGACAGATTTTGAGGACTTGGGAGTAAGACAAGAAAAGTAAGAGGGAGAGGAGAGGAGAAATTTTTGAACTAGCGCTTAAGTAGGGTAAAAATTTATTCACTCGGGTGTTTATATGAAATTAATAAATGCATATCATATGTTGCACATACACTTCTAACATTTAATCATTGTTAAATAATATGTATTACCTTATTAAATAACCTAATTATATTATATTAACATGATTTGGTCTAAACACTCGATCATAGTCACTTGAAGTGGCACAGATTAGATCATAGCATGTGGAGCATGCTTTGACGGCCTAGAATTTATAGTTGACACGCACAAAATAAAAAGAAGGGCTCTTCGAATGGCTCTGTACGAAAGAGGTGAAAACTATCTATAATTTTATGTGAGTCTTTCATTTTTTTTGGGGAGAAATTCAAAAATAGCCAGATTTACAACTGGTCGTTCACAAATAGCCAGTTTCAAAAGTAATCAAAATTTAGCCACTTTTCATGTAAAGATAAATCTGAGCGAAAACACTGTTCAAAACTTGAAAAATACGCCAGTATATTATACCGGAGTTCCAAGATAAGTATGCTTGAACTCCAGCATATTATACTGGAGTTCCAAGATAAGTATGCTTGAACTCCAGCATATTATACTGGAGTTCCAAGATAAGTATGCTGGAACTCCAGGGTAAGTACACTAAAACTCCAGCGTAATATACTGGAGTTCCAGCAAGTATAATTGTCCAGTATAATATACTGGAGTTTGGAGCACCGGTGCTCCAGTTTTCAGTATGTTATACTGCAGTCAGCAAAGTATACCGGTCCAGTATAATATGTTGGAGTTCATACACAGGTGCACCGAACACTACTATATTATGCTGGACCGATCTCTGTTGCAGCAAAATAGTGGCTATTTTTCATTGACTTTGTAAACGTTGACTATTTTTGAATAACCAGTTCGAAAATTGGCACTACCGTGCTATTTTTACTCTTTTTTACTGAGTGAAAGACATTAAATTAAGACAGGAAACTAAAGAGTTTCAGTACACAAAGGGATTAATCGTGGTGATTCCGTCCTATAATAGTCTTTCCGAAAATAAAATAAAGCATATAAAGGAGGGTACGTAGTTGTCGAAAACAACATTAGTTCCAACTAATCTATGTTAGGTCCAGGTACTCCCAATGTTAGCTAGAGCACGTGTCACCATGTTTGCCTCACCGTACACGTGGCATAAGGAAAGACGATCCATTGCTTGTAGAACGAACCTGCAATCATTCAACAAAGGTAAATAAGATGCATTTGTTATAAATATATTATATTATAAATGTTCATTTAGTACTCCGTTGTAAATAAGCTTCCTGAATAAGCTTATTCAGATGTGACTCCACCGTAAATATGTTTATCTATTTAAGTACTCTATTAGAAATAAACTTCTTGAAGAAGCTTATCACTTCGATACCAGGTTATGGATAAACATTACCCCCGATAAAAGATTATTCATACCGGATATAATAAGCTTATCCTTTCAGTACTTACTTATTAAAGATCCAGTCATACTGTGGAATAATTTGAAAGATAGATATGACCACCTGAAAATGGTCGTTCTTCCACAGGCACGATATGATTGGACTCATTTAAGGCTACAAGATTTTAAATCTATCAGTGAGTATAATTCTGCTATGTTAAGAATTATTTCCCAATTGAAGTTATATGGTGATAATATTACTGATCATGATATGTTGGAGAAAGCTTTCACCACTTTTTATGTCTCGAATATTCTCCTGCAACAGTAATATCGAGAGATGAGATTTAAAAAGTATTCTGAACTTATCTCACATCTTCTTATAGCCGAGCAACATAATGGGTTATTAATGAAAAATCATGAAAGTCGACCTACTGGTTCTTGTCCATTCTCTGAAGTGAATGAGACGAACTTCCACCAGGCTAAACGTGGAAAAGGTCGTGGTTATGGTCGCGGTCGGGAAAGAAACTCTAATCATGGTAATAATATGCACCAAAGAACACTCCTCACCACCAGCAGTGGAAAAGGAAGGAACCAAAGCATGAAGCGGTGCAAACACCAAATGCAGAAAATGCATGCTATAGATGTGGAGAAAAATGGCACTGGTCACGTACCTGTCGTACGCCAAAGCACCTGGTTGAGCTTTATCAAGCCTCCCTAAAGAAGACAGAGAAAAATGCTGAAGCAAATTTTATTTCTGAAGATAATTTAGACTTCATGCATTTGGATGTAACTGATTACCTTGCACTCCCAGAAGGAGTGCACCAAAGAACACTCCTCACCACCAGCAGTGGAAAAGGAAGGAACCAAAGCATGAAGCGGTGCAAACACCAAATACAGAAAATGCATGCTATAGATGTGGAGAAAAAGGGCACTGGTCACGTTCCTGTCGTACGCCAAAGCACCTGGTTGAGCTTTATCAAGCCTCCCTAAAGAAGACAGAGAAAA